TTGGAATTGGCTCGCACGCGGCCAAACGCACAGGCGACGAGAGAAAGCACGAACAACGCCGCAAACCGAAACCAACATCGCTGTGGAATCGGTCCGCGCGCGGAGAAGTACTAAGGGGTTGAGAGCAAAACACGTTCGGTAGTGGTCTCCGGTATCACGCCGATGCGATTTCACTGTCATTACTCAAGAGTATGAACCAACTGGATACCCCACCTATGCCAGGCGATTTCAACCGCAGTGTACAAGGAAACCGGCAATGTTCCACCGGCACCACCGTCATTGTGCGTGTGATGGCAGCGGGGTGCGACTGTTTTTTAAATCATCCCGATCTTGGTTTTCTATCGCACCCCGGTGCCATAACACCGAAGGGTGCCGCAACACCGATACCGGTGTAGAAATCCAACTCATGTAGCTCTAGATTTCCAACGCACCCCCGGTGCGATGACGCCGATGGGTGCGATACTCAAGAAACGAACAGGCGGTTCCTGGGACATGTAGCTTGCGTAGGCGGTACCATGCAACCAGCCCGGAGTGGTGATCAGTGACGAGGTCGAATCCGCGTTTGGGGTGGCGTGTGCTAAAGAGAACAGAAGCTGTGGTTCCCTGCTGGGGAAGGTATACGGCACGGTATCGTTTTTCTTCCAGCCTCTTCGTTGGTGGCAAGCCCCTCCATTGTTAGCTGGTGCTTCCCTCTGCCTTTTTCTGTCTCAAGGGGCATGGTACCGGTAGAATTGAAGTACCGTTTACGACCCCCTCCTTGTTCGGTTGGTTGGAGGTGCTGTGTGCTTGGTTGAGTGAGGGAGGGAGTGAGTGAGTGCATTAAATCATGCCGTTCTTGATGCTTTTGCGCACCCCGGTGCTGCAACACCGATGGGTGCGAAATCACCGATGGGTGCCATCGCACGTACAATTACGGTACTCCGGGACCACACTGTGCAACGCGCTGCTGCGCGGTCATCGACGCGGCTCACCTGTACACGGCCATCACTGCGGCCAACGGCTGCCACGTCCAGGGCGGGGGACGGCTCGATACAGCTCACCGCCGCACCCTTAGGGTCCAAGCTTTGGAAGGAGTGCACCCGCCTGCGCAGGCGTTTCGAAAAGGAAAAGCGCGCGCATCGTCCACGTCGAATGAAGAGAAAATATGGGCACATTTCCACGCAAATATGGGCACATTTCCACGCAAATATGGGCACATTTCTACGAACAAATGGGCACGTTTCCACGATAACCGGATAGGGGACCATTTCCTCCTCTCGAGGTTGACGGTTTTTCCGTGGGATGTACCGTGGTGGGATACAGTACACATGTGAACAAGGTTGCGAGCCTCTTTTCGCACCCACTTCNCGGAAAGGGGACCATTTCCTCCTCTCGAGGTTGACGGTTTTTCCGTGGGATGTACCGTGGTGGGATACAGTACACATGCGAACAAGGTCGCGAGCCTCTTTTCGCACCCACCTCCCCTTTACTACATTGTTGTTGTCACATTAGAAGCCGTGCCGTATTCCGCTCAGTGTCTTCTAACATCCGTGCTGGTCCAATTGGCCCGGACGCCTTCCGTGCTCACAGGCCAGCTACAACTCAAAGAGGGATGGTTCTCAACGCATGGTAAGAGTGTCTACAACATGTAGAGTGGTGGGGCGTCATCCCAGCCGTCAACATAAATACTTGCTGTTAATGTAGTACCCCACGAAGATGAACAGGCCAACGCTCTTCCGGAAAGCTCTTGACGAACGCCGCGAGTTTTCCGCACCGCCACAGTTATTTCTGCAGAGTGACAGAGCTTCGTAAATCGGTCCAGGGGGAGTGTTATCTTGCGTATGCGATCATCACCTGCCCGCCCTAACGTTTCACAGCTGCAAGGCTCCTCCCTCCGAGCCCACCACCACCTTGTTCAGGTACGTCGGCGGGTGCGCCAGCGCTGTCGGCACGAAGCCCCCTTCCAAGGCCGCGTCGCAGGTCGGTTTACCCACGACACCCTCCCCTCCCCCCTGGGGACCCCCGCGGGGCCCCTTGCTCTTGCCGCCGGGGCGGTGCTTGAGATCCCAAGCCTTGAGGCGGCCCTCCTCGCAAAGAGACACGAGCGTGTTGCCGACGCACAGCAGGAAGCGAACCTGGGCGTGATGCCGTAGCGTTAGGATCAGAAGAAGAGGAAGGCATGGAGCGCATGTTTCTCCTCGAGACAAGCGTGCTTGTTGGTGATGGGGCACGGGGAAGGGGGAGTTGTACTAGTGTACACGCATGCCGTAGTCGGTAGACCATACACAGACCTGGCATCCTTGCATTGCCGAGACGGAGCGATATGCCGGGTTTTCGTCGACTCAGGCTACTCTCCACAAGGGTGGACCAGAAGCCGGGCACCACTCCCCCTTGCGTTTGCTGATTTTCCCAAGTTTGCTGATTTTCGTCATCCGCTGGCCGACAAAGCCGCATTCATCGATAGTTCGGTCTCTGGGGAACACCGTCTGCCGAAGTTACAACACAAGCTTACCCCACCGCCATCACCACGATATAGCCGCCAGGAAATTATGGCCAAACGCGACTCCTCAGATACCATGCGCCGCACACACTGGTGTCGAACGCACAAGGCTCCCCGCGGGTGTGTTGGAGGTCTATCTCTGCTACCACTTTCACCCCCTCACCTTCCCGTGACATTGTATCTCTCTTCTGTTGTTTCGATAGTAGCTCTGTCGAGTTTACACAGTGCCCGCCTCGTCTATTTCCGGCTTACATTGTAGACGCTTTCCACCTCTACTATTTACGTGTCCTCTGTTGATACTATATTATAGCAGCTCTGTTTCTCTCTCCTCTCTTCCATGTCTAGTTAAACGGCATCCATATCTACTCTTTCCGCCATGCATGTTTAACGCTGCCGACCTCTTCTATTGCTTACGCTTTTAGCACAGTCCATCTCAAGCACCTCCACCTCAATGCAACATGTGCCTCTCTGGCAAAGTTGACAACTAATAGGAGAGAGCACGAACTTGTTTGTTTTCACATCGAGATGCCCAAGTGTTGTCGTTTAGACCAAAGAGACGGAAAGATTTCACGAAATCGGAAGGGAGGAAAGAAGAGAACACGAATGTTGTGGAACGCTCTCATGGAGAGGTACGGTCTACATCGATGCTATCTCCGTCTTAAAAAAAACACTGATGCATATACTGTACCTCTCCATGAGAGCGTTCCACAACATTCGTGTTAGGGTTAGGGTTAGGTCTAAATCGATGCTATCTCCGTCTGAACAAAAACACGGATGCATTACTGTACCTCTCCATGAGAGCGTTCCACGACATTCGTGTTCTCTTCTTTCCTGCCTTCCGGTTTCGTGAAATCTTTCCATCTCTACTGTCTCCTTCTTAACGACAACACTCATATACCACGCTGTGAACATGTACACAATTTTCGTACTATCTCCGTTGAAACAGAAACACCCACTAATTTTCTCTGCGATTATTCAACCCACAGCAATTTTCGTACTCTCTTACCGTCCCGGGGTGTGAACCGAGGGACCCTGTGCACGACAAGCGCCTCCACCCTAGCACCTCACGCCCACACCCGACGAAGGTAGGTGTGCTCGTTGCCCCACGACTCCAGGCACGTTATTTTCTTGCTCATCGGGGGTGAAACGAGAACGACCCTGAGGTGGTCGCATCGATAGATCTGCCGCAAACGCAAAGTGTACAGCAGCATGGTGCAGCAGCGGTTGGGTCGTTTGGCGACGAGGGGTTGAGGGTCGCATTGATGGATCTGCCGCAAACGCGAAGTTTACAGCAGCATGTGGCAGCTGCGGTTGGTTCATCTAGCGACGAGGGGTAAATGGTGACATCGATAGATCTAGTGCAAACGCAAAGTTTGCAGTAGCATGATACAGCAGTGGTTGCTTCATTCAGCGCATCACATCGACAGATCTGCTGCAGACGCAACATGTACAGTGGCAGTAGCGGCAACGGTTGACTCATTTAGCGCCGAGGGGCCACATCGATAGCTCTAATGCAAATTATGAACAGGAGGAGTAGCAGCAGCGCTTGATTCACAGCGGAGATGATTACCGGTTGTATCGATATCGATAGATCTGCCGCAGACGAATTGAACCAACAGTCCGCGCCAGTTGGACCGGCACAGCTGTCAGAAGGTACCGTACCGAACAGACACCCGAGCGGTGATGAAAATGAAGAC